CATCCCGAGGAGCTCATCGGATGCTTTTATACGTGCACAACAGGCAGGCTGGCGCAGGCAGGAATCGGGGAGGGGGGGGCGGAGGGAGGGAGGATTTTTCCTCTCAACAACTGAACATCAGCCACACCGAGCAGGGACTCGGCTTCTGCCGGTCTCCCGGGAAAAGGGTCCTGAATATGCATGAGGGTGCACATCTGGCCAATTCTGGCACAGGAAGGAGCCCTGCCTCCCCTGGGGAGGAGGGGGAGGGGGAGGGGGAGGAAGGGGGGGAGGGGGGTTTTATGAAGAGAAGGACCCGGGGAGACAGGAGAGCAGCATTCCAGTATTTGAGGAGGGGCTCCCCCAAAGAAGAGGGTGAGGTGGGGGGGGGTAAAGCTATTCTCCAAGGCACCTGAAGGCAGGAAACTTGCTTCTCACCAAGGAGAGAAGCAACCTGGAACTAAGGAGAAATTTCCTAAATAGTGAGGACAATTCATCAGTGGAACTGCCTGCCACCAGTAGTTGTGGTTGCTCCATCACAGGATGGTTTTTAAGAAGAGACGGGACAGTCACTTGGATGAAATAGTCTAGGGTCTCCTGCTCAAGGAGGGGCTGGACTAGAGGACCTCCAAGATCCCTTCCAACTCTGTTATTCTTCCTTCCTTCTTTCCTTCCTTCTATCCTTCCTTCCTTCTTCCTTCCTTCTTCTATCCTTCCTTCCTTCCTTCTTTCCATCCTTCCTTCCTTCCATCCATTCCTTCCTTCTATCCTTCCTTCCTTCCATCCTCCCTTCCTTCCCCGCTCCCTTCCTTCTATCCTTCCTTCCATCCTCCCATCCTTCCATCTTTCCTTCCCTTCCTTCCATCCTTCCTTCCCCCACCCTTCCTTCTAACCTTCCCCCTTCCTTCCTTCCCCCCTTCCTTCCATCCTTCCTTCCTATCCTTCCTTCTATCTTTCCTTCCTTCCTTCTATCCATCCTTCCTTCCCTTCCTTCCATCCTTCCTTCCTTCCTTTCCCCCTCCCTCCCTTCCTTTCTTCCATCCATCTACCCATCCTTCCTTCCCTCCCACTGCAGGTTTTTAAGAAGAGATGGTACAACCAGTTGTCTGAAAGAATGTCGGGTCTCCTATAGGGCCTCCCAGTTCTTTTATTCTGGGTCCAAAGAAGCTCCTTGCAGCAAGGAGGAAGCCATCTCAGCTCTTTGGGGCTTCCAGACAGAGCGCCCCCCCCCCCCCCCCCGGATGGGGGCTGTTTGCCAGGCTCTGACTAAGAAAGTGACTCTGACTTTGCAGCAGATACAAAATGCCATTAATTGGGGGCAAGAGGAACCGGAAGGAAATGGCAGAATCGGCCTCTGATTGAGCCCAGGGGGAGAAGAGAAGGAAGAGGCAGGAACTGGGCCTGGCTGGTCTAGGGAAGAGAAGGACCAGGGAGACAGGAGAGCAGCCTTCCAATACTTGAGGGGCTGCCCCAGAGAGGAGGAGGAGGGGGGTCAAGCTATTTCCTAAAGCCCCTGAAGGCCAGACAAGGAATAATGGAGGGAAACTGAACAAGGAGAGATTTAACCTGGAAATAAGGAGGAATTTTCTGACAGGAAGAACCGTCAACCCATGGAACAGAAGTTGTCAACCCACTTTGGAGGTTGTGGGAGTTTCATCCCTGGAGGCTTTCAAGAAGAGACTGGACTGCCATCGGTCAGAAATGGTGTAGGGTCTCCTGCTTGGGCGAGGGGGTTGGACTAGATGGCCTATAAGGTCCCTTCCCACTCTGTTCATCTAATCTCATCCCTTTGCAGCCGAGTGGCAGGAGAGATGGAGACGGTTGCCGCATCCGGAAGGCGGCCTCTTCTCGCCTGCCTGAGAAGCCAAGAGCTGCCCCCACCCCCCCCGGAGACCTCCAGGGGCCTCCCTGGGCCCCAGCTTCTGGGTCCAAACCCTCAGATCCGAGGCCGAGACCCATCAGGCACCCCTCTTCCCCCCTCCCGTAACCTCCCCAGCTTAGCCTGATGGGGACGCAGCCCATGGGGAACGCAGGTTCCCAAGATTGGACACCTCAGGTCTTCTTCTCAGGGAGGGGGGTTGGATGCTACTGGGTTCCTACCTGGTTTACTTCCAGTTCGATGCCTGACCCTGTGAGCGCACGTGCGCACGCACCCCTAATGTACCAATCAGCCGAGAGGAGGAAGAGATGGAAAGCTGGGAGCCCAGGCGCTTGTCGCTTCTTCTACCCTCTTCTACCCAAAGTCTTTCTTTCTCTCCCCCAAACTCCGCCAGAAACGAGTCTTGGGGACCCTGCAAGGCCTCCTGCTCCAAGAGGCTGCGCCGGCAAAGACTCATTTCTGGCGGAGTTTGGGGGAGAGAAAGAAAGACTTCTGCGGCTTCTGCTGTTTTCCTTGCATGAAGCCAAAAGTCTCTCCCCCCCTCTCTCTCTTCTCCTGAGAACGGAGCTGGAGACGGTCTCCTGCGATCCCAAATAAAAATCGATCGATCGGGAGGAAAATGGGGCGTGGAATTTTCCTGCGGACTTTTGGGGGGATTTTCCCAGGGTCTCTGCTCCGCGGGATTTAAAACGATGAGGTTGGTGGTCCCTGAGGTCCAAAAAGTTGGCGACCCTTAGACTAGAAGGTCCCTACTAACTCTGCATTCTGAGGGTTTACCAGCGAGGGACCGTTCAGCCCAAGGCTGTGGAGACCAGACTGGGGGCCTCCAACACATTCAGGGACACCAGAGGTGAGGAGGTGAACCCCCCACGCGGTGACCTCGTACCCAACTCCACCCCCTTGGTTCCCTGGTCCACCTGTCCAGCATGTCTGCAGCCCTTGGGGGTGTCTCCCCCCCCCGGGAGAAAACAAAAAGGGGGTTCTGGGTGGGGGGGGGGGCGGCTAGGTTCCCCCATCCCCTCCACACACACACACACACACACACACACCCCTCCAGGGTGCTTCCAAGGGGGTCCCAGCCTGGTCAGCCGGCAGCCGCGAGGGATGCCAAGGGCTTCTCCCTGCCTCTCTCGCCCGACCCGAGACCCCTCCCCCTCCCCACCTGTCTTCCTATGCAAAAGAGCACCGGATCCCTCTCCGCTCTCAGCCGCCCTCGCCTCCTGCTCTTCCCCCTCCTCCCTGGGGATCCATCGGCTGTCAGGCCGCCAGAGAAACAGGGAAAATATGTAGGCCGTAAAAATCAGGCTCAGAAGCAGGCGGCCAATTAGCATGCAGAAGAGGGAGGAAGGGAAGGGGGAAGGGCGGGGGGAGAGGAGCAAGGGGAGGGGTGGCTGGGACAGAGGGTCCCCAGGGGAGGCTCCCCCCC